TGTTCTATGTCTGTGAAATATGCCATTGGTACTTTAATAGGTATTGTACTGAATCTGTAAATCGCTTTGGGTAGTATGGACAGTTTGATGATGTTAATTCTTCCAATCCATGGACACAGTATATGTTTTCATTTGTTTATGGCTTCCTTGATTTCTTTCTTCAGTGTTGTGTAGTTTTCTGTATACAGGTCTTTTACCTCCTGAAATCCTTTCCACGAAGATGAGGAACAAGACAAGTTTGTCCACTTTCACCACTTCTATTCAATATAGTATTGGAAGTTTTAGCCACAGCGATCAGACAAGAAAAGGAAATAAAAGGCATCCAAATAGTAAAGAAGAAAACAAAACTGTCATTGTTTGCACATTACATGATAGTGTACATGGAAAATCCTATAGACTCTACCCAAAAACTGCTTGATGTAATAAATGAATTTGGCAGAACAGAGGGATACAAAGTTAATAACTAGAAATCAAAGGCATTTTTCTATACTAACGATGAAAGCAGAAGTGAAAATCAAGAAAAAAAATTCCTTTCTATATAGCAAAAAGAAAAATAAAATATCTGGGAATAAACCTAACCATGGGATAATTTGTTTTCAATTGAAGATTTTTGTTTGAAGATGTCCCTTTTAGTGAGGGTTTGATGATAATTAATTTTTTGTGTTTCACATTTTTCTCTATAAATGTCTTTATTGTTTCTGTTGAAGTCAGCTGATACTGTATTTACTATATACCTTTAATGGAAATGTACATTATTTTCCAGGCTAACTTTTAAGTTTTTCTCTTTGGTTTTTGTTTTTATAAATTTTACTATGCTGTTGCTCTACTCGTATGTTTTTTTCAAGATTTTTATTTATTTATCTTTAGAGGGGAATGGAAGGAGAGAGGGATAGAAATATCAATGTATGGTTGCCTCTTGTGTGTCCCCTGCTGGGAACTGGCCTGCAACCCAGGCATGTGCCCTGACTGGCAATTGAACTGTGGTTGCTTGGGTCCCAGGCTCGCACTCAATCCACTGAGCTACACCAGCCATTGCTCTACTTGTGTGTGTTTAAAACTTATCCTCCTCAGTTTCATAGGACTTCTTGTAATTGTGCCTTTATGTCCTTCATCAGGCTTGGAGAGCATTTAGTCATTATCTCTTCGAAAATTCCTTCTGTACTGTTCTCTCATGTCTTTCCTTTGAGGATTCCAATGACTCTATGTTATACCTTCTCAATAAATCACATATTATTTATCTCTCTTATGTATTTATACATTTTTTACTTTCTGGGTTTCAATGTAGATTTTTTTTCAACAGTGTCTAAACCACCGAGTTTTGTCTATTTTCCAGTGTTAGAATGTCTAATGTGCTTTCTCTCTCATTCATGCTCACTCCCCACACACCATTTATATGATGGAATCCTCATGCTTCTTTCATCTGGTTGAACATATTCATCTTAGCTATTTGAAAATGTAAGTATCTCAAATATCTGTAGTCCCTGTACACATGTATTTTAAAATTGGATTATAATTTATATACAATAAAAACAGTTTGTGTATTTCAAAGTATTTGGGGGAAATGTACACAATTGTGTAATTACTACCCCAATAAGGTATAAAATAGCATACCACGCCAGCAAATTCCCTTATGTCCATTTTCAGTCAACCCACTACCCCAGAAAAAGAAAAGCACTGCTTTGGTCTCTAACACCATACCTTAATTTTGCCTGTTTGGGAATTTCATATAAATAAAAACATATATTTTGTAATACTTTTTAGTGTCTGGCTTCTTAGTTTGACAGTTTTCAGATTCATCTATAATGTTATGTGAATCAATGGTCATTAATACACTGGATGAATATCCCACAATATATTTACCCATTCACTGGTAGATGTTCATTTGGATGTTTTCTGGTTTGGAAATGTTATAGATAAAGCTGTTATGAACATTCTTGTATAAGTATTTTATGGATATATATTTTCATTCCATTTGGGTATATACCTAGGAGTGAAATACCTATATTTTAGGATAAATGTATTATTTACTTTATAAGAAGCATCTAAACTGTTTTTTTTTATGTAGTTTACATCCTCACCAACAGTGTGAGAGTTTTAATTGCTTCTAAACCTCACAAATATTTGGAATTGTTAGTGTTTTTAATTTTAGCTACTCAGTATTTATAAAGTGATATATCCATGTGGTTGTCCATTTCTCATATAAAACAACAAGTGTATTTTCATATGCTTATATGCATTTATACATTTTATTGATGAAGTGTCTTTTTCCAATTTTCAAAACTGGATTCTTTGTATTTTATTATTTAATTGAAGAAGCTCTTTACATTTGTGGAATAGATGCTTTGTCAGATCTGCATACATATAAAATATATTCTTCCAGTTTATGGTTTGCGTTTTTGTTTTCTTAATGTTATGCTTTAATGAGTCAACAGTTTTAATATTGATGAAGTCCAACTTATTCTTTTTTCTTCACTATTATTGCTTTCTTGTGCACTAAGGAATTTTTGCCTTTCAAAGGTTGAAAAGATATTGTCTTATATTTAGTTCTAAGAGCACTACATTTTTAGCTCTAATATTTAAGACCATGATCAATCTCAGATTAATTCTCTGCAATGCCATCTCTGTCATAAATTAAGTTTTCATATATATGAATCTATTTTTACTCTCTCTATGGTATTTCATTTATTTATTTTTCCTCTTATCTTGTGCCAGTAACACATTTCCTTAACTACTATAGTTTTAAAACAAGTTTTGACATTTTGCAGGGCAAGTCCCTTTACTCTGTTCTTCTGTAGGAAGATATTGGCTATTCTTGGTTCTTTATTAAAAGCCATAAAAATTCTACAATGACTTTTTAAATTAATGTCTTATCTTGGAGGTTCACATCAATATAGTCAGTGTAAATATGAACTCTAAACTCACATGAGGCCATGTTTGAATGAAAAAATAAATTCTTAAGAAATCCTACATTTTACAGAGCCCACGCCAAAACAGATATGCTTGCTTTTTCTCTTTCTGAACTGATTACTGTATTTTTCTAGTGCTCTTTGGTATTGAGGGCATAACCCTTCCATTGTATTAGATTTATGGGACAAATTCTTGTATTTGTTTCTTATGGCTGCTGTTAACTAATTACCACAAATTTAGTGGTTTAAATTTAAATTTAGTGGTTTAGTGGTCTTACAGTTCTGGATATCAGAAGTCAGAAGTCAGTTTTACTGGGTTAAAGTTGGAAGTGTCAACAGGGTTTAATTCTTTTTGGAGGGTCTAGAGGGATAATCTGTTGCTTTTTCCAGTTTCTAAGTCTTCACTACTTGGCTCATGAGCCCCCTCCTCCTCTCTCAAAGCTGATAGCATAGCATCTTCAAATCTCTCCTGTTTCCTTCATCTCATTGCCTTCTGCTTGGTAGTCAAGCACCACTCTGCTTCACACTTATAAGAATACTTATGATTTCATTTAGGACCCTTACAGATAATCCAGAATAATTTCCCCATCTCAAGATCCTTAATTTAGTTCACATCTGCAGTCACTTTTGCTACATAAGGTAACACTCACAAATTCCAGGGATTAGGACATGGCTGTCTTTGTGGATCATTAATCATCCACAGTCCTAATTATATCCCTTAAATTCACTCAGGCTCAAAACTTTTCTTTTGTAACTTTAAAACTCAAACTCTTATTTACCAAAACTAGTAGTTCATCCACTCTTCTTTCTGCTACAATAGTATCAGATCCTGTGATTAACACTCCAGTCTTCACTTCCTTATACTAAATGGGTCCCTGAGTGTTTTCTATAGTTTTTTATGAGTTCCTGTATTTTAAAAAATGTTTTGTTTTAACTACATTTTCTAGGATTTCATAAAGAAAGATTTTTCAGGGTATCTAGTTTGTTACATTTTCAAAAATGGGCATTTTTAATCTACTCCTATATAGATTTTTCTGCCTCCACTTCTCTAGAACTGTTCTTTTCAAAATCCTAAAACCAAGCATATCACCATACCCAACAGACAGTTTCTGTCTGCATCTTCCCTAAACATACACTGGAATTCACCCCCATTTATTACCTGCTTCTTGAAACACTGTTCCTCTCTTGACTTCCATGATAATATACACTACTTTATTTTTCTTTTTCCCATTTAATAGGCTATTTTCTCTCTCTCAATTGCTATTTCTTCCTCTACCTGACCTAAAAGGCTGCTTATTTCTGAAATATCCTTTACTATTTATCTTCACAATATTGCTTCAGAATATTGGTAGGAAATATTGGCTTTCTATGTGGGTACGCAGCAAATTCAAGTATATGACTCATAGCCATCATGCATGGAGTGCAGTTAGTAAACTAAAAGAGTTAATTAATATTTATCTCCTTAAAAAATCTTACACTAAACAAAATAGACAGAAAATGTTTTATATGCTGTAAGTTTCCTAGGGAAAAGGACTAATGGTATTCAAGTCTCTCCCTAGACATCAGTAAATTCACACTTAAGAAAAAATTTCCAATTGTAGGTACTATTGAAAAGCCCTTTAAACACTGTGTAGCCTTTACTAAATATTAGATCATCTATACTTTCAAAAAGGCTAGAGGAGAAGCAACAAAGTTAGATGTGTATACAAAAATATGGGTTATAAAAATGTCCCAAATCCTCCTATCTGTTGTCAGCTTAGTTTCCCATCCTTTACCTCCTCGTGCTCTGCCCACTAATTTTCTCTTTCTTACTAAACTCTCCAGTCTTCCTCAGCTCCTGGAGCAAACCTGACTGAGACAGAAGCATTTCAGTAACCTTACTACTCCAACACCCTTTTTATTCCCACTTTCTTGTTAATAATTCAATTGCTTGACATACCAGGATCCAACGATAATGATGCTGGGCTCAGGTGTTGCTCCTATTATCTCTGGTAGTGGTTCTTCTACCTTCTTCACACCTTAATGATAGTCTGAGTGCCTATCATTAAGACTTCGGAAATTTCTCCCCCTCATTCTTCATAAAACAACACTCACCAAAGACAGTGCGGGCAGGAACAGACTCTCTGTTGAGCCAGAAAGACACTTGTGACAGAATGACAGTCATGATACATGGCAAGTAGGTCTGGATCACAAAGTAGCCAATTTTTCGCTTGAGATGAAAGTGGGTTGTCATGACGACATATTCTCCTGGAGAGAGATTAACATTAGGTAGTATATAGCTGAACAAATATTGTTGGATCAAGGTGGGCTCCAATTCAGTTCACAAAGCTCCTTAACCTTGTATTCAAAACAAGACATCTTGGCATCTCCCAAGTCCACAAAACCAAATCTCATGAAGTAGTGAGGGACTTTTTGGGGGTAAAAATATATGCTAACAGTGTACCAATAGTTTGCTCAGAGTGATTTTGATATAAAGTTATTCAAATAAATTAGCATGCTCATTTAAATAAATTTAATAAGAAATTATCTCTTCTACAGCATTTGCTATATTATTAGCAGTTTTCTAGAATTTTTATATCTTTAAAATATTTAATCTTAACAACTCTATGAGGTAGGTACTATTGTTATCCTCACTTTATGGGTTAATAAACTGAAGCAAAGAGAGACTGAGCAACTTCACAAGGTTACCCAGTTAGTAAGTAGTGGAGCCCAAATTCAAGGAAAAATGTGTTGGCTCCACAGTTTATGCTTTCTAACCACTATTCAAATGTATTCAAATTGATTTATTTGGGTCACAACCAAAAAGTTCTCATAGCAGAATACAGGCTGGTTTACATAAGCTCACTCCAAAATAAGAGTGAAAACTTATTAAGATTTTACTATGTGCCAAACAACTTTGAGTGTCCTTGAAGAATTTCATTTATAGCCTCCAAACAACCCTTTAAGGGAGTGACTGATTACTCCTTATTGTTAAATCCAATAGTTAATCACTTTTCCTGGATGTATCAGAAGCATTTTACACAGTTGTGCGCTCCATCTTCCTGGAATGACTCTCTTCACTGAATTTCTAGACCATGATGCTCTTCTGGTTTCCCTCCTACCTCATTACCTCTCCGATCTTCATTGCTGGTTCCTTTAAATTCTGAATACTTCAGTATGTTAGGACTCATTCTTGTACTATTTTCTATCTCATTCACTGCCTTTACTTTTTCAGTGTATATCTTTAAACAATACCTTAAACTCTGATAACTCCCCACTGTATATCTTTCAACTGAGCTTCCTACTTGTTATGTGTTTCCTGGAAAGGGTATGGCAAAGTCTTAACCTTGAATGCCTCAGCATGTGACATTTTTCAGAAATAGGGTTGTTGCAGATATAATTAGTTAAGATGAGGTCATATTGGAGTATGATGGGTTGTAACCTTCATCAACCCATCATTGGAGTATGATGGGTTGATACTCTTATAAAGATAGACACATACAAGGTGATGTAAGGTGATGTGTCATGACATGTGATGACAGAGGCAGAGATTAGAATGATAAATCACAAGGCATGGAATGCCAAAGATTGCCAGCAATCTTCAGAAACTAGGAGAAAGAGGTACAGAACAGATTCTCCTTCAGAACCTCCAAAAGCAACCAACCCTGCCAATACCTTTGTTTCAGAATTCTAGCCTCCAAAAATGAGGGGGGCAGTAAATTTCATTGTTTTAAGCCACCTAGTTTGTTGTACTTTGATACACAGGCCCAGGGTTCCCTACAAGACTCTAGACCTATGTATTCAATTGTCTATCAGACTTCACCACTTGGGGACCTAATAGGTGTCTTGACCTAAGATGTCCAAATCATAGCTTTTATTCTCCCATCTCCCACCCCCTCCAACTGGCTCCCCCAACAGATGTTTTCCCACCTCAGTAAATGGTAGCCCCCAGGGGCACAGGCCAAAATAAAATTCTTCAAAAATTTATCATCATCATTGATTTCTCTTTTTTTCTCCCTCCCTTGTATATGCCTTCATGTATGCACATGCAGACAAACATAGGTACCCAATCAATTAGCAAACCCTGACAGTTCTTTCTTCAAATACTGTATATCCATAATTTGACCACTTGTTACCACTCTGGTCTAAGCCATTAGAGTACTGTAATAGCTTTCTAACTGGTTTTGATTTTATTCTTGCTCTCTTCAATGTATTTTTTACACATTAGCCAAAATATCCTATTAAAACATAAGTCAGATTTGGTCTCTTTTCTGTTCAACTTCCATCACTGAAAGAGTAAAAGCCAAATTCTTCTAAGTGGTCTCCAAAGATCCATGCAATCTGACTGCTCTCCTACCATTCTTATTAGAAATTCGTATTTTTCACCTTTTCCCCTCTATCCACATTTGGTTTTGGCAGGTCTTCCAAATGACACAATTTCTCACTTTCCTACCTCACTTATTTCCTTGTACCTAAGTCAAGGAAGCACCATCTGGCTATCCAAAGCTCAACATACAATACATATTTTATGTGTATTCACAATCTACCTTCTTTTGAACACAAATATATGTAAGTAGGCTTATTTTTAATTTAGCTAACAATTTTCAAAAAAATTATAGAATATGTTCTTCATTATAACTTAAATATTCCTTTTTTTCTTTCTGCTTCTTTTTCAATCTTTTTATTTGTGTCTTTGTTCCCCCATTGCCTTCCACTCTCTCCTTTTCTCTCTCCACTTCTTTCTTGTCTTTGTCCATTTCTATTTCTTTCTCTCCCTGCCATTTCTTTCACTCTCTTTCTCCACTGAGAAGGCATTGAGGATTTATTTTAAATGACAGTAGGACTCTTATTAGCTTGGACAATTTTCTCCCTTCCCCATCTTAGTCTCACACCCTTAAATTCATATCTTTTGATCTATACCTCATCATCTTAAATACTTAATATATAAAATATACAGTAAATATTATACATAAAGTAGTTATATTCTGTAGATATGAAAAGCAAAAGAAGTTGACTTTGTAAAAGTTCATCAATTATCCATTTGTTTTATTTTTCTAATTTATTTTATTTTGAGAGAGGGGGAGGGAAAGAGAAAGAGAAAGAAACATCAATGTGTGGTTGCCTCTGGAGCACCCCTACTGGAGACCTGGCCTTTATCCTGACAGGCCAGGCATGTGTCTTGACCAGGAGTCGAACTGGTGACCCTTTGGTTTGCAGGCTGGTACTCAATTCACTGAGCTATACCAGCCAGGGCATTATTTTAAATAACTAGATATATTTTATCCTATTGTCACCTCTTATAACCTTTTTTCCTTCAATTTCTGTCATTCTGTCTCTTCCAAAGAAGTGAAGAAGATGACTAACATCAGCAAGATGGTGGAATAAGACCTCCCAGCTCTAGTACCCAATCACAAAAATATACATTAGCAACTCTCCACAGACAAGAATGTCTTTTTGAAAATCCTACAACCAGGACGTAAGGCAGAAGTACCCTTTTGGAGCATAAAGCAAAGCCACATTAGAAGGGCAAGAGAAGTGGTTCACTTTGCTGCCTTCTTCCCTCCCACAGACCAACTTGTGTAAGCACCTAGGGGGCTTGTAAGCTGGATCTACAGTTTATCTAGTGGGAAAAGGAGAACGTGTGACAGTATGAACATCCAGCATTTTGGGGCATCCCTTTGCAGACCTACTTCTGTCTTGCTCCATGGGGAACACTGGGGGAATTGGCAAGGATAAACCACTTGTGGCCAGCTAAGAACAGAGAAGAGACAAGTGGTGGAAATTACAGCCATCAGTTCACAGATATGTCAGTAGTACCAAGTCCCTGTTATCAATCTCTTCTGATCAGAGTCCAGCAGTCAGCCTTGTTTAGTTAGAAATCCAACTTCTTCAGCAGTCTGCAGCTCTGGCAACCAGATAAGTACAAGCACAGGCCCCATACAACAGCACAGCTCTGGCCAACAGCAAAAGTCCAGCAGACACCTTGTCCAATGGCAGTGGGCCAATCAAATAGGTCACACTCCCTGCTGTCTTGATGTGGCCAAAGAGTGACCTCTGGTAGTTAAAACCTGCCAGCTGCACAGCCTAATGGTGGTGGTGTACCCATTCACCAACCCATGACATCCCCAGGAATTAAAAAGGTGATAGGATTAAGCAAGGAAAATAAAACTCATGGACACAGACAACAATATGGTGATTACCAGAAGGAAAATGGGGTTGGGATGGTAGAATCAGGTACAGGGGGCAAAAATGGTGACGGAAGGAGATTTGACTTGGGGTAGTGAACACACAATATACAGATGATGTATTATAGAAGTGTATACCTGAAACCTGTATAAATTTGATTAACTAATGTCACCCCAATAAATTCAATTGAAAAAAACTGTCCACATGACCCACAGCTCCTCTGTCCACTGACAAGATGATCCCTGGGGTCAAAACCAGCTGGTTGGAAACCCTCCTGGTGGTGACAACACCTGTCATCACCACTCCTATACACCGACACGGTATTCCCTAGGGTCAAAACCAACAGGCCATGAAGCCTAGGGGCATGGAAGACCCACTCCTGCTTACCCACAAGGGATTTCTGGACAACAAAATCATCCAGCTGTACAGTATGGAGGTGGCAAACCCTCTGTCCAAACTACATGGCAATCTCTGGGAATCAAAACAGTTACACAGCCTGGAGGTGGGGACACCTCCCCACACCCATGCACAAGGTGATCCCTTAGTGTCAAAACCCCTGCCTGTGCAGCAATGATTTTTATCTGGACGCACAGTGACCCTTCCTGCCAACAAGGTGATCCCTGGAGACCAAAACTCATCCATCCCCAGCCTGGGGGAAGTGGCGCCTCCATCCACAAATACAATGACCCCTGGGAGTAAAACTCCACTGGTTACATGGAGGCCAAGGGGCAGCAAGGCAGTCTGTTGATTACAGACAAAGCAAATTCCCTGAGGAACAAAATATGTCAGACAGACCGCTGGAACTGCCATGTGCATGGCAACCCCTGGGAGTCAAATCCAGCTGTACAGCCTGAGGTTGGAGGTGACCCTGCCCACCAACACAGTGACCCTTGGGAGTCAAAACACACTAGCCACATGATCTTGGGTTGGCAATGTCCCCACTTATCCACAAGGTGATCAATCAATTCCTGGGGAATATTACAAGCTGGCTGCACAGCCTTGGGTGCCATCTCTGCTGTTGGTATATATGGCAATCCCTGGGTCTCAAGCCTGCTAGCCATGAAGCTTGGGAGTGGCAGTGA